TTGATCAAAAATCTAGGAAAAAAATTTTTATCATATCGGTATACATAAAAAAAAAAAAAGGTAAAAAAAAAAAATTTGTTCCTGCTAAATGCTTATCTTATCATTCAAAATCAAAAAAAAAAAAAAAATTCCTTTCGCCCAAATTTTTTCTCCCCTAAATTGGAGATAATAAAACAATGTTAAAATCAAATGAAAAATTTATTGTTTGAACATATTCACAAATTTATCAATACTTTTTTTTTAAAAAAAAGGGAACCAATTTATTTTTTTGAAATGGCTGAAATGGGGGATTATTATTTTACTAATTATTAATAATAATTTTTTTTTTTGAAATATGATTACGCTCGATTCCGCCGATTATTTTTTTTTTTTTAAGCAACCTAACAACTTTACTTATCTGTTGCCCATCATTGGAAGGTTTTGATAACAAATTTAATTCTCATTGCCTTTTCCTTTATGATAGAAAATAGTTTTCTTATGGAAAAATAACATGTGAACATCATCCAATCGAATCTTCAAAGCTTATCGAGAGCCGTTTTTTTCATTGGAAAGAAACAATTTCTTTTTTTTACCTCAAAAAATTTTTTATTTTATGAGAGTTATACTATAATTCATCGACAGCGCATGCATTTTTTTTTTTTTTATTTTTATTGCAAAACAATGATAACCTAACCTAAAATCAAACAATCTATAACTAACTTGGTAAAGAAATTTGGAATGACGGGTACACAGATACACAACCTGTTTGATTATTATTTGTAAATAATTCGAAATCTGTCAATATAAACTCAAGATTATCTCGTCACTTTTTGCCTGAGGAATTCAATCTCTATGTGCCGAGCCAAAAGTTGCATTTTGTTATGCTTGCCTTCTTCATCTCCTTTCGCCTGACCAACAATCATTGCCAGAAACATTATTATGTGTGACGCTTCCTCAAGGTTCCGCGTTCTCTCATAATCTTTTTCACGTTCCCTTCCGAAGCAATTAAAATGAAAAATGGTGATGACCGAAACACGATACATCTTTGTTTTATCTCAGTAGATTAGAGATGAAAAAAAAAAAAATTATATTTAAATAAAATGTTGCCATAGGAAAAAAAATCAATGTTGTTTATTTTATCAAATGTTGCAGGATAATCTTAATCTCAGTTTGCTCTGAGTCGTTTCTGAGTAAAAATAAGGTCATGAGGTCCATAAACCTTGTAAAAAAAAAAAAAATGTTTGCCGCAACCGTTGCTGCGCAGAACCGCGCTGCGGATCATCGGCTGGTCATGGGTCGGAAAATCCCGCATGTAAGAAATTTGTATGAATAAAAATTTCTTTTATAGATCTTTATGCCGACAGGGACCTGAGTCATCGCCAGGTGGGAGGATCGGCGTCATTCAGGAAGATCAAAAAAAAATGTTTTTGCTCGGATTTATGGACGGATTGATGCGCTTTTTTTTTTCTTTTTAATAAAAGGGAAAGGGCTTTACGTAATCCGTCAAAAAAACGCAAGTGACCTTTTGCCGATCGAAATTTCGCCATCTATCAACAGACATGAGATTTAAAAAAGAATTCAATTTCTCTTTTGGAAATGAATTGAAAAAAGAGATTCGGTAATCATCGACGAAAAATCTTGAGAGATGGATTAAATTGATAAAATAAAGAACAATGAAAGGGTTAACATCATTCATAAAAAAAAAAAAAAAAAATGTTCTACTCGTCTTCTTTAGCCGAATATGCAGAAATCGTTAAATTCAAATTTACCCCGCTAAAATCTATTTCCATTAATGGACATCAATAAGATCATGACGTGGAAAAAAAAAATATACACAGAGGAACGTTTCAAATAACTCCTTTTTCCTCAAAATATAAAAATTTACCACTTTTTTTTTTTTTTTGTTATTGTTTTTATTTAATTACGCATTAATATTCCGACTTTTTTTATCTTCAAAAATCATATCTAAAAGATTAGATCTACCATAAAAGTAATGTGTGATATAAAAGTTCCGTTAGATGTGCATTATCGATTTGAGTGCATGAAAAAAAACACAAATTTTCGATCATTTAGAAAAATCTATTATTTATTACCTGCTAAAAATTATTTCATAAAAAAAATTTCGAGAGTGTAACATGGTTTAATATTTCACACGTCATATCAATCCTTTATTAAAAAAAAAAAAAAAAAAAAACTCTCAGACCAAATTTAATCGATAACGAATTAAATGAAGGTAATTTAAGTAATTTAAATTAAGAACATGTGGGTTTCTCTTTAATTAATTTTAAAACATATATTCACATGATTGTTGGTCAAAAAAAAATAACCCTAAAATAAACATTTGAACTATAAATTAAGAAATATTTTATTTGATAACCAAAGGTTTTGCGGCGTGTAACTTTACTAAATTGATGATAGATAGATGTGGAAGGTCATCTTGCATACTATACTGTATTATAGGTATTATATAATGACCAATAGTTAAAAAAAAAAACCAAAACCTTATTTCTAAATAATCAATGAATGGTACGACAGGCACAACGAAAACCGGGAAAAATCCCGTAATAGGTTAGGCTTATCTCAGATATCTTTTTCAAAGAATCATTGGATCTTTTCTCCCGATAAAATACAGTTAGTTATTATATAAATATAAAGATTGTTTGATTTCCTTTTCACATACACAAAGCGAAAGAAGCATCATATGACACAAACAACTTATGAGAATTGAGATTATCGAAGTATAGATAAAGCATGGATTGTAGAATTTGAAAAAAAAAGAAGGAGCAATGTGAGTTTCATTCATGCAATTAGATAAGTAATTTAAGTAATTTTTATAGAAGCACATTTTAACTTGTAAATCCAAAGAATTTGAAATTTTTTACGCCTAAACTCGTTCACTCACCTGACATCATTTATTACATTAATTACTCTCACGCACACAATATGGCAGCCGTGGAGAAAATCATGCGGGAATTCCGAACTGATACCACGCGTCCTTTTCAAAGTTTCATGTGTACGTATGAGGTTATTCATAAATTCAACCGAGTTTTCTGTTGCATCCCTATTTTTTTTTTTCCCTTTCTTTTATTTAAAAAAAAATTCCCTTTTTGGGGATTTTACGAGAAAGAAAAGAATTTGGAAGATTAACGGTTAATCTTGCTATAAATGCTTCAATGAAATCACGCAAACAATATAAATATTACAAGGAAGAGGTCTCGAGAAAGTTATCGCGTGGCACGTAAAAAACAATAATGCACTCTGTGATTATGGTACGACGTAGATAAGATATCCAAGAAAACCAATACGGAGAAGAACGGAAGAAAAAAAGCTTTGCTCCAGAAACATTGTACCAAAAACCAGCCACAAATTCAGTTAGCCGAAAATCTTGATAAATACACCACCCAAATTTTTATTCCCCACATTTTCGATAAACCTCCAAATTTGTCAAGTATGAGAAATCACATGCGAAACCATCAACCAGTTCATTTCAAATTTGGTTTAGCCCATAAGAAATTTTAACAATATCTAGCATATATATAAATGGGATCATTCTGACTCGGAACTTTCTCCGAGTAATCATTTATGGTTTAAATTCTCATAACGAAAACATAAATTACATTGTAATAAGATCATTTGATTGTGATTGGTCGTTCTCAAGAAAATAAATTTATCATGAGATTATTTTTTGTTTACTTGTTACTTACTATTAAATCTATTAAATTAAAATCATGATAAAAAAATATTCTTGTACTAATATCTCCATGTATGCATTTCATTTAAAAATATCCTTTCTTTGGGAAAAGAAAAAAAATAAATAAATAAATAAATAAATATCATTTTCTGTATTTCTGTGAAGTTAACAACCATGTACGCGTGACGCAATGATAAACTTGGAATTTTAAACGCGTAGATCTTGCTGTTGTTAAGTCGTTAAATCATTAGGTCGTTAAGCGTAAAATAGTAAGATCACATAAATGGGACCAGCCCCTTAAAGGACTAAAGTAAAACCTATTCGGAAAAATGATTTTTTTTACTAACGTTTTTAATTGAGTAATTCTACAAGCATTAACAATTGTTTATTATATGCGGGACGAATTTTTGTAATCAACCGCTCACGTATTATTAAGTAAGAAATAATAGTTATGAAAAATTTATTTTAAAAGAAATTATTGACAAAATCTGAGGGATAATCAATGAAATTTTTTGCCGTTTAAAAGTTAATTGATTTAGAATAATTCCTTCTTTCAGATTACAAAAGAAAGAAATATCTCATCCACTCCACTACTTGAAAGCATAAAAATATTCAATCAAGTGTTTACGATTCCTTTCTTATCAATAAAAAAAAAAAAAATTAAAAAAAAAAATAAAAAAATTGCGTTAAATAATAAGAAAATAAATAAATTACGAATATATTGTGATTAGTAATGAATTGGTTCAAGGAAAACATAAAATCCACATTGAATTCATATAATATGCAATTAAAGGGTATTGTAATCACGCGATGGTTTGGATAACAACAAAACGAAATGAGGAGCAATTTCACGTGAATTTTATTAAATATGGATAGAATTTAAGATTTAAAACTTTAAGGCAGTGTTTTAAATTTTATATCGTGTGAAAATTTTTATATTTTTGATTTTGATTCCCATACAAATTTTTCAGAACTCCGGCAACCAAAATTTTTCATGGATTTTTTTTCTCTCTCTCAATCCTTTCAACTTGAGAAAATTATTATGTGTAACCTTAGTAAAGATATCCTTTCCATCATATTTGAAGAACTCACTCTTGATTATAACACCCTCTTTTCGTGTTTATTAGTGAATAAATATTGGTTTGAAACTGTAGTTCCAATCTTATGGAAGAACCCTTGGCGTAATCAAATGAAAAAGCGACATAAAAGATCATTATTTGTAACCATCACATCATTTTTTTCAGAGGAGTCCAAAAGATTTTTAGCAAGTCAAGGAATTGAATTAACCTACCGAATCCTGTCCTTTAATTATTTAACCTATTGTACATCCATGATTAATTATAACCTTTATGAGATAATTCAAAATCAACCTTTAACGGATGATTATGATAGATATATCGTTCTGGATGAAATATATCGACTCCTCATCAGTTATTGCATACCATTAATATACATGGATATGTCATTTATGCAATACCAGTTTTACTTACTTCCGGGTGCCAAACGTTGGCTTTCTGACATTTCTACTTTAATATGTAGCGCTAATACGGAACCTCATTATTTTCAAGGTTTAGCACCTTTATGTCAATCCATAGAAAAATTATGTATCAATTCATGTCACCAGGATAATTATGGTCTGGCAAAATTGATTGAAGTTCAAAAGAATTTAAAATATTTGGAAATTTCAAGAGATGAGGGTGTGGGTGATGATTCACTTGACATCATTAGTCGCGGGTTGAAACGTCGTGCGAGGTCAATCATAAAATTTAAGGCGGTTTTTGAAGGAATTTTAATTTCGCCAAAGGTTCTTCCAGAACTGGTGAATTTAATAGAATTGGAATTATCCGTGAGGAATCTTAATCAGAAATATGAAGAACAATTGAAAAATTCAACGTTTTCTAATCTTCAAGTTCTTCATATAGGAAACATTTCTGTCAATACCATGGCCATTATAATTGAAAAAACTAATGGTCATGTAAGAAAGATTTGGGTTGATGACTATAAATTCTGCAATGATGCTGAAAGATTAATCCTTGCTATTTATAAAAATTGTTCTTACATTGAAGTATTATCGATCGTTCTTTATAATCATAATTTTATGGAATTCGAAAAGCTGCTTCAATCTTGTGGTCATTTAAGAACTTTATATATTAAAATATTAAGCGCGAGAAAGAATGAGCGTGAAGATAGGATGATTTTATCAGAAATCTTAAAAGAATCCGCACCAGCTTGTTTAAATAATATTACTTAAAATATTCATTCATAAAAAAAAATATATATATTTATTTCCTCCTTTTCCCTCAATTTCTCAAGTTGATTCTTTTATTAATTCAATTGAAAGTAAAATCAAAGTAGAATTTTCCGAAATTTTCTCTTTTTTGGCGTAAAAATTTTGCTTTGACGGTCAGCCACATTGATTTGACATGTCGGATTTAAAAATTGTAAATCTACTTCTATTCATATATATTTAGATACTTAAATTTCAAAAAATGCATTAATAAATCTCTAATTTCTTTGTTTAACCAATTTTTGAATCCAATTATTTGGCTTTAAAAAGAAAAAAAAAATTGCTAATTAAAAGAAAAATGTACAAAATACAAAATATTATATATTACTTTTTTTGTTTTTTTAAAATAAAAAAAATTTATTAATAGAAATTTTAATTTAGCAATTACAATTAAATATAAGTTAATAATTTTTTCCTATTTTATTATATGGGTAACTTTGTTATTAAAATCACATAATGGATTATTTATGATTTACTATATTCATAACTTGATTTTAATAGTTTACTATCTATATAATTAATTTATTTTATAGTAAAATAATAAAAATCTTAATAAATAAAAATATTTTTAAAATAAAATATATATTTATTATATAATAGTAAGTATATTATAAATTATAGTCAACTTTCTCTAAATGCACCTTCTTGAGATCATAATAAAAATTTTAAAAAATATACATTTAAAGAAGGTATGTATTTAAAGAAAAAATTTTTTATATGATTTCTATATATTTAAAATTAAATGAAAGTATATATTTAAAGAAAATATATAGTATATATATTTAGAAAGAATCCATTTAAAGAGAGTTAACTGTATATAAAAAAATAATAAAAAATATAAAAAATAGATACTAAATAAACTCTATCATCTAATATTATTTATTTAAATAAATATATATTAATTAATAAATAATATAAAAACTTATAATAAAGATTTTATTATAATTTCTTATCTTATATTATTTGTTTATATTATATTATTTAAAATTGTTAAATAAATATCAATTATAAATATTATTAAGATAATTAATGATAAATTTACTATTCAAGAATTTCAACATTTAAATATGTAAATTTAATTTAATTTGTAATTATAAAATAATTTATATAAACTCATATTTTAATTTATAATATTATAAATTTTCATTTAACTTAATAATACAGTCAACTCTGTTTATAATGAATCTGTTTATACCAAAATCTGATTATAACAAACTCATTATATCAGAATTGAATTTTTTATAATTATTAGCTTTGGTTATATCAAACTATCTTAATAAATTTCTATATATTACATCTGAATTAATTTAATTAGCCCACTATTATTAAATTAAATTTTATATACTAAATTATTAATAATCATTATTATTATATTATTAAATCAATTTACTGGATCATCAATAATTATCATTATTATATTATAAAATCAATTTAATAAAATTATTGAAAAAAGTTTAATTATATAAATTTTCTTGTTAAAAATTTTACATTATTATATTTTACTTTTAAATAACTAGATTTCATGTTAAAAAGAAAACGTATTATTTTTTAGCTATACTTAAAAGAGAAATTTATGAAATAAAAGAAAAAATACTAAATATTAGTAATATAGAAATTTTTAATAATATAATATTAGAAAGTTAATAATTACAGGTATTTTAAAAGAAAAGAATATTACTTTCTATTATAACTAAAAATCAAGGCAATATAAAAAGTTTTATAGCTCTAAATAATTACAACTTGATAGTACTCTTAACCTTTGGGTTGATAATGAACTTATATCAAATTAAAATATTAATAATTATATCTTTAAAATAAAAATAAAATATTTTGCTGATAACCTTCTAATTAATAATTTTAACTAGTTTGATAGTTAGCTTATTGGATTTAAAAAAAAAAGATAAGAATTTTAATAATTTAAAAAGCAAGACAAATTAGTAAATACTTCTTCTGTTAAATTATTAAAAAATGATAAAAGTAAATTTATAATAGCTACTTAAATTTTATTAACTTAAAGATATTTAAAATGCTAATAAAACTGATTTTTTTGAAAAATAGAATTTCACAAACTTTAACCTATTTTAAAATAGCTAAATATAAAAAGAAAAAGCTCATACAGTTATGCCTCGATATATCAAAGTTACCGATTCAACTGATCAAATCTTCATTATAAGAATCTTTATTAATATTATAACAAATTATTCGATATATATAATGAATAATTTGTTATAGTAGATGATTACTGATTTCATTACACAAATATAATTTTACTATAATATAATTTTTTCAGAAATATTTTCATATATAATTTGTTAATCATTGTACAATAGTTTTATTAATTTATTTAAATTTTTTTAAAAAAAAAATTTAATTTATCATTTTTTTAAAATAAAAATAAAATAAAAAGAAAACTAAACGAGATGAAAAAATAAAATTAAGAAAACTAAACGAGACAAAAAATGAAATTAAGAAATTAAAATGAAACTATAAAATGAAATTAAGTGAATAAGATGAGACAAAAAAAGAAATTAACAAATAAAAAGAAACTATAAAATAAAATTAGAAAAATAAAATGAAATGAAAAAATGAAATTAAAAAAACAAAATAAAACAAAAAATGAAACGAAATGAAAAAATGAAATTAGAAAAATAAAATGAAAAGAAAAAATAAAATTAAATGAATAATATGAAAAAAAATGAAATTAAACAAACAATATGAAAAAAAATAAAATTTTATTGCCTTACAGGCCTTACAAATATGTCGCAATTTTATTATTTATTTTAATTTTACCTAACAGTCATGTCTAAAAATATTAATGATTATGGTCATAACTGGTACTGATATTAGTCAGTTAAAAGCTTCTGACCTATCGGTTAACTAACTAATTTTGACTGATCCTAACTAACCAGTTGACCGACTGACTTTAATCAATTTTGACTGACTGGTTTTGACTAATCTTAACTGACCAATTGACTAATTGATTTTGACTGACCGATTTTGACTAACTGATTTTTATAAAAGAAATAAATTTATTAAATTAAAAATACTATATATTATATGAAATTTGACACAGTAAATTTATTACAAAAGTACTTATCACCAAATATAAATTAAATACTAGTATCTAATCCATTAATCAACTTTAATTATATCACTAAAATGATTAACATTAACAAATATTAAAATTAAAAATTTGCAAATCTTTTAGCATTACGTTAACTACTATTTGAGTTAATTTTAAATAAAATAAATTAGCGTTGCATTTTAGAACAATAATTTATATTTATTTTTTGTAAAAATAGCCAATGCAACTAAAATTTTTAATTAATTTTTTTTGAATAATAAAAATGAATTTTTCATATATCAATGATATAATTCTATACTAATTTTTTACATTTAAATAATATTAAAAAATTTTATTCACATATTAAGATATAATAAAAATAATAGTAATTTATTTTTTTAGAAAATGATTTTTAAGTAAAAAAAAATCAAAAACAAAAAAAATATATATATATATATATATAATAAAAAATTTTTACTTAATTCATATTTATTTACTTACTTATTTTACTTTCACTTTTCTCTCTTTTTTCCTTTTTTCTCTCTTTCTTTCCTCTTTTTTCTTTTACTTTTTTTTGTATTCTCTTTTTTCATTTTAATAAACAAATATATCTGATTATTTAATAGAAAGTGATAAAGAAACTATTTTCAAAACTTATAAAAGCAATATATATGAAGAAGAAGTTGAAATCAATGATAAAATAAATATTATTAATAAAGAAATTAATAATGAAGAAAATAAAGAAATAATTAATCTACCTTTATCCCACTTTCAAGAAAACTCAATAAAAGCTGATGTATGAAATTATATAGATAAAACAATAAAAATATGTCTAAATTGTGCTAAAATTTTTAGTAATAAAACAAAAACTAGTTCTATTCAAGCACATTTAAAAAGTTATAGATTGTTACTTAGAAAAGAAAAACAAATAACATTAGGTAATTATATTAAATGACATTCACAAGAGATTCAAGTCAAAAAAATACAAGCAGTTATTGAATGTGTAATTTTAGATTTGCAAGCATTTAAAGTAGTAGAAGATGAAGCATTTAATAAAATGATATCAATATTTAATCCTTATTATCAAATATCAAATAGAGGAACAGTTAAAAATTCTATAATGGCAATTTGAAAAAAAAAGAGAGTTAGTTACAAATTTTATTAAAATTTTTTTAGGAAAAGTAGCATTAATTGCAGACATTTGATCATTTTTAAAATTTAAAGGTTTTTTGAATATTACAATACATTTTATTGACAAAAATTAGATTTTAAAACATTTTACTTTAAATATATTTAAATTTAAAGGTTAACATTCAAGTGATTAAATTGCTAATAAAATTTATAATATACTTGTATAATTTATATTAGAAACTAAAACTTTAGAAATAACAATCGATAATAGTGATAATATAATTCATAATGCTAGAGCTTTAAACAGATCAGTTCAGATCAGGTTAATCAAGTTACCTGAACTGAAAGGATCAGGTCAGGTTAAACAAAAATCTGACCTGATTTAAATTTTCATTTAACCTG